GTAGATATAGGATCTAACTATTGTTCAGGCTTGTCTCAAACTCCTGACCTCAAGCGATCTTCCCACCTCAGTCTCCCAAAGTGCTAGGATTATAGGTGTGAATCACTGTGCCTGGCTTAGTTTTTAAAGTGTTAATATAACAATGAGTCATACGGGAAAGGTTAGATTGTCTTCCACATGTTCTTTCTCGGAAGACAGAAAAGTGTTCACTATTCTTTGAAAATATTTTTATCTATTTTTTTCCCTTTTTTAAAATATGAGTTGCTCACATCTATGTGCTCTCATGTTGAACTCCCAGTGCAGCATTGAATGTGAGGTTTAGAATTGCCTGTTTATGGCTCTGCAGTTCTATGAGGAAAGCAATTCTATCTGAGTCATCATTGCATAACAAGCACCTAAAATAGAGTTTGCACAAAGTATTGAATAAATATTTGTCAAAAAAGTATAACTTTGGTTATTTGGAAAAATTCCAACTGTGTGGAATTCTTTTACTGATGATATTGGATAAATAAATTTTAATGTTTTTTTAAAAATACAACAGAATATCGAGAAACAAACATCTTTAAATTTTTATGTTTCCAGAAATAAGAATTGTCAGCATGCAAGTTCAAACAGTCACGAAATTCAAAACAGTTACTAATGTTGTTGGATATGTAAGAGGCTTGGCATCCCCAGGTAAGTAGGGTCAAATATTTATAATCTACATTTTATGTGAAAATGCACAAAGATATGCTATATAATAGTTTAATATCATAGTTACATATTCCACTTTAGATGTAACCAGAAGTTTGTCCCACTCTAAGAGTAGATAAATATGAAACTAAGAATTAGGTCTGTATTCCCCTTCCTACTACATCTCTTCAAAAACAAATCTTAGTAGAGAGTATGTTTGTTTGGGGGCATCGGGGGTGAATGAAACAAGAAACAGTTTAGATTTGTTAAACTGGTATGTGTTACAAAGCTGATTTTTTTTTCTTTTATTCATTACAATGCCATTGGAATTTTTATTTTTATGAAGAAAAGACATTTTTTAAAGAGAAATATTTTAGTTTTTAATGATTTTTTTTAAAAAATAAATTTTTGTCTCCAAATATAATTTTTCAGTGTTAATCTAGGTCCCATTCCTGACCCTTGGTCCACTGCCAATTCTGCCAAATGTGCATGGCTTTAGGTTTTGAAGGTGCTTATGAAAATGATCACCTGATTAGATTTTAAATAATTTTATACCTTGTTATGGGTTTCTGATAGTCTTCAAATGATATCATATAGGCTAAAAAATGTGAAAATAACTGACGCATATATTAATAAAGAGATTAGTTAATAACACTTTTAAATTCACGTAAAGCGGAATCATATATTACTGTCTGATGTGTCTGTTATACAGTGTAGGTGTAACAGTTTTTCCTTACACTTGTGCTACTTCTATTGATTTTTGGGGGACATTTACTCAAATTTTTCTTGGAGAATTATGCTTCTATATCACTTCAGTAAAATTGACCTAATTGCTAACTCAGAGAATTTTGAGATCAAATTTTATATCCTCTCAGTCTCTCGCTGGCCAACTCTTACAAAATTTGTGAAAGGTACTTATTCTTTCTGATTTCCTTACAGTAGCAGTGTTGGTTAAACTCTTATCACAGTGTCTTTAAATATAAGATATGAAAAATTTGGAAATTGTTACCATTGCATTTCAACAAATTTTCGTCACAAGAATCTATAATTGAAGCACTAGAATATTTATAATCATTGCTACATTTGTAAGTTATTATTGAAAAATCCAGTTGTACAAAATTATATTAGCTTTAGGGTAAAAAAAATTCAATCTACAAAAAAGACCTGAAATTTTTAAAAAATCAATTTTACCATTATTATTCGGTGTATAATATGTAAAGCTTCTCAAATTTTCCTTATTTGGATTCTATACAAAAATCTTGTTTGTTCAGATGATTTTCTTATTTAAGGACTTTGAAAATGAGAAACAATCATCAATTAATATTAAGTGTTTAAGATGTGATTCATTTAGAATAAAGACAATCCCAAGCAGAACTTTCAGATATTTCTGGGAGATGAGTAAATTCCCAGGTTTTCAACATTTGCAGACCCACCATGAATACCACTAATTAAATCTTGCTAAAATATTGGCAGATCAAATCCATTGCTGGTTCTAAAATCAGCGTGGAAAACTAAAATTGTTTCACATTGTGACATTTCTTGTAAGGTAGTAGTTTCTTGATGTTATAAGGGGTGACTCATTTATTCCACATGTGTGTAAGACCTACTTTGTGTCAGGCACTGTTCTAAGTGCCTTACAAATCGTAACTCACATAAAGCTCAAAACGGTTGAACAATTAATGTACTATTTGTATTCCCATATTAGAGTTGAAAAAAATTAAGTCAGAGAGAGTTTAAATAAGCTTCCCAAGGTCATACAACTAGTGAGTTTCAAAGCCTGGATTCAAACCCAAGCAGACTGGATTCAGAGTCTGTATACTTTACCATTGAATTATGGGACATCACATAATGCAATGATACTTTTTACACAGACATATGGGCAAGGGCTACTTGGTCAAAGAAATTTGGCTCTTTTACTATTACCAATAACATTCACTGACAACCAAATCAAAGAAAACTCTTGAGATACATTTTCAACCTACCTTTTTACTGACAGGTCAGTAGCGTACACTGAACAGGCCACCTCCATGTGTCATGGAGACTTTTCTAATAGTGTATCTAATTAACTCTGGATGATTATATGAAAGAAAATCTGTTAAAAGGCAACTTTTACAGTAGTCGAATGAATTTTGATACTGGTGAATTGTATTTCTTTTCTTCAGAGAAAGGAAAGGAACTAGAAGCTGTAATTAATTCCCTAAACACTTAATTTATTGCAAAATCTGTACATGACTACCACATTTTTAATATTTATGGCTACTGAATAACTGCTTCCTCAAATGTATTAATAGTTCATTAATATTTACTGAGCATACACACATTTTTTACAGGGCACTTCTCACCATGATTCTGGAAAAATGCTAGATAAGAGTTTCATTGTAGCATATTTGTATACTTCATTAATTAATATTCATATTGTAAAGGACAGTAATATGGATCTAAGCTTTGTATTCATAATTGAGTTCAGCAGCTGCTTCTGCTTTGATATACACAGATGTGTGAATCAAGACAGTAGGTGAAAAATATTAAAGTAGTCTTAATTATTAGAACAATTTTGCTTAATTGTTGCTCAGTTGTACAATAGGATTATGCAAATGCCATTAAATTTATTGTTAAGATTTACATTTTGTTCTAATGGTTCTTGTTCCCTTCTGTTTCCAGACCGGTATATTATAGTTGGCAGCCACCATCGTACTGCATACAGTTATAATGGACAAGAATGGGCCAGTAGCACGGCAATAATCACAGCTTTTATCCGGGCCTTGATGTTAAGAGTGAAGAGAGGGTGGAGACCAGACCGCACTATTGTTTTCTGCTCTTGGGGAGGAACAGCTTTTGGCAATATTGGCTCATATGAGTGGGGAGAGGTAAAATAAAATATACATTAATTACAATGTTTTTCTTTTTTTCACTAAAGTAGACAAAATAAAATTGTTGGAGCTGAAGACAATAATATGCCTCTCAACCAGGGTATTATATCTCTAATTTGGTGAGATCATCTATAAGAATAAAGGGGAAGGAATTAGAGTTAGACCATAGTGAACTATGTATAATTTAAGTATCTTATCCCTATTGCTACCAGACCTGCAAACCCTGCTACTATATAACCCACAATAATATTTTCCTGATTATTGTAATTTTCTCCTTAGAAGACAAGTTGACAGGCACTGGACAAGAAAGGATCAAGTGATACATACCATTACCTTTATTTTTAAAAAAATTTTTCTAGGAGTTATCTGGAATCAGGGAGCAATCTCCTACATTAAATGTTTATTACCTTAGCATTATATTTTATCTATACAATATGGAGATTGAATTTAAAATAGAAGTTACCTTGTTTCCTCCCTCCCTCCACTCCTTCCTCTTCTACTGCTCCACCCCTTCATCCCTCTCTCCCTACCTTTTGATCCCTATCTGCCTAACTACCGCTTACCTCCCTAGTAACTACCTTAGGAAGCCTGTGTCCAAATGAAATCTAGCATGCAATGAAGCATAATTAGAAAACAACTTGAGTACTGAAGTTTCAAATGCTTCTGCTAGGTTCGTGTCCCACAAATGCAGTGTATTTTTAATGGAATATGAGTACAGATAATTGCATTGATGCTGTATTAACAACAATGAAAACATCGTTAAACTTTTAGATATTCTATTTCCTTTTGTTAGGTAGATAGCAAGGGATTCTGGGTCTCCTAGGGATGAAAGTGGGTGTTGCTGTGATTTATCCCCCAAAATAGGCTTTCAGAGAGGCTCAGGGAGATCTGCATGTGCAGTAAGACTCAGGTCATGCAGCTCCCAACTGTCCATTCAAAGTGGTTGCATGGTGACATCTGAACCACAAGGAGGTCCCAATCCAGGCACTATAAAACAAGACGCAGACCGTAACCAGGCCCTCTCTTTTGGTCCTTCCCCTTGCTCTCCCTTTGCTGTGACGATGGGTTCGGTCGTCATCTGTGGCATATGTATCATGCTCTGTAAACCTCTGTCTTGCTCTTTTCCTATAATCCTATCTTTCTCTCCTCAATAAACCTCATTTTCGTGCTTGTCTTACTTTGGTGCGTGTGGTCATTCTTTGGCCCTGAGCACACTAAGAACCAACATTTCAGACTAAAACTTGACACTGATTTTTTTTTTTAAAGGAGGTGATGGATACCTCAATTACTCTGATTTGATTAATACACATTGTATGCCTGTATCAAAACATCATATGTACCTTATGAATATATATGACTATTATGTACCCAAAATAATTAAAAATAAAAAATTAAAATGAAAACAAAAGAGGTTCAACAGCAATATGCAGACCAAAAAAATTATACCAATTTACTAGGAAAGTAAAGTTATTTAATATTCTAGTTTTTTGTTACTACTTTACCTTTGAGGAAAAAAATTGTATCTAGTGGGAAATTCTCTTGTTACACTTTTTATTTAAGCACTCAAAAAAAGATAAAATGTCTCCTGAATATCAAAGAAAATATCAAAAAGGTATAGATAAGGAAATAGCAAGTGTCTTTTTAATTTGAAGGAAAGAAAAGTCTTAAAGATGAGAAAATTTTCACTGTAAAATTCATCAAGATTCACACATTGTATATTGGAATGCTTTTCCATATGCAAATTAGTGGTGTGAATGTTTGATCTCTATTCAAAAGAACTACTTCAAACGAAAAAATTTCATCGCTTGAAGGACCTTTTTACATTGACAAATTTGTAAGTAAGATGGAAATATAATTGCTGAACCAAACCCCTATTCAAAATTACTTACTTTAAAGATCGGTAAACAAGTTAAAGAACTAGTTAGGGAATATGTCAGGACTTGCTGTTAGTAATTCAGAAACAATAAAACAATGTTTGTTTTCTTGTAACAAAAAAAAAACCCATATTAAGAAAATGTCTTAAAGATTCTTTTCAAATTCCAAAGATTTATTTCACTATATCATAGTTTTCTAGATACCTATCTCATAACTTTCACAATTAATTTGTTAATCCTAAATTAATACATGTATTTCTGAACTGAACTATGTTCTAAAGTAGACTTGTCTAACTTTAGTAGTTCCTAACAAATATCTTGAATCCAGTGCATAAGAAATTTCATGGCAAAAAGGCCTTGAACTTATTTGAGCATCAAGCACCAAAGCCTGTACTAATCAATGTGGCCTCGCATGTATGTGAGCAATTATTCTTTCAAATTGTGTGACATTTTTGTGGTTAAAATACAAATTCCTTTTTAATTTTTTTTCTCTTTTTCCCTCTTTTTACCTCCCCTTCAAAATTTATGTTGCTTCATAGTGAATGTTTGAGACACATTGGGAAAAATGTGGTTTAATGGTAGATTTGATCCTTCAATATGTAACATAGAAATTAATGAGATTAAAATAGCCTGACTTGTTTGGACTTTATCAGTGTTTGAAATGGTGCTTTATTGTAGGTTAGAAAACACTAATTTGGGTACAAGCTCTGAGACTCTGTTATTAGCTTATAGGATTTTGAACTCCCATTTGATACGGTACTAGTTGAAAGATTTTTGGCTTTATTTTTGTTTACAGCTTTAAAATTGATTAAATGTTTTACATTTATCTTCAAATTGGTTCTCCAATATTACACAATATTCTTAATAAACTTTTATTGCTTGTTAACATCAAAAATACTAAATTAACACATTGGAATGTCAATCTTAAGAGTATTAAAACAACCATAATACTAAAACTATCTTATATCCCAGAGTTTAGCAAATTTTCAGGTGCATGCTTTATTATTTTTAAAAGTAAATTATAAGTAATGTTATACTGTCTGTTTTGAACTCACATTTCCGTTTCGGATCTTGCAGATTTTATATTGGCTGTGATCGGTGTCAGAACTGGTACCATGGGCGCTGTGTTGGCATCTTGCAAAGTGAGGCAGAGCTCATTGATGAGTATGTCTGTCCACAGTGCCAGTCGACAGAGGATGCCATGACAGTGCTCACACCACTAACAGAGAAGGATTATGAGGGGTTGAAGAGGGTGCTGCGTTCCTTGCAGGTGAGAGGCCATTGCGCAGAGTGTTTGAAAATGCAGTCGGCCAGTATGACTTTGGAAACAGTTCTAGGGTTTGAAGTTTCCAGTCTTAGAGTATGTGATTATTTACCGACTCCCAGCTTGTCCACTGAAGTG